TGTATTGAACATGTACACTAATGAATGAGTGTTTAAAAGTACAAATGCATACTGTGCTTTAATTTAGATCATTAATGTTATGCAGCTTTCATTGTCATTCGAAATAATATATTTATCCACATTCAATACGTTATCCAGAATGTCAATGAAAACTACTCACTGTATATCTCTAGCTCCGAGAACAGAATAACACTCATATAATCCAACACAGTTAGGAATCTTCATCAATGTAATAGGTATGTACGAGTAAATGTAATTACGAAAGCAACTTTTCATGATAACTGTCATCGTGGATTGACAATATTAAAAAAACCCATCGGGAGTTAATTATTGATTCAATTTTGTTTTGTGTTTACTGTTCAAATGAGACATTTGAATGTCTCAAAGTTAGAAAATCACTTGATGACAATCCAATTATCTTTATGTATTAATGCATGTTATAAAGCATGAAATGTATTCATTTCTCATAACATAGAAATATGTGTATACATGAGCGTTCATTCATGTGATTTTGCAGCATAATTAATTTCTCCGTTCGCTATTACCTTCTCACCCAGTAGTTAGTTTGGGTCTATTATTTTATACAACGTATGTCTTTCTCATATGCAACATGTTGGAAATCCACTAGTAAACGCCTCTCATTAGAACGCATAAAATTATCGCTCATACCTTGAATTCAGTGAGCATATGATTACTAGCAATAATTATGTTTATTATAACGACTACTACTATTAGTGACCAATCACACTCACACTTACCGAAAGAAATCTAAAGTACAGGTGAGATTACACTTGGAATATTTTATAAAGATCAACTTGAATATTAGAAAACCTTAATGAGATCACACAAATTGATTAATTCCATTTCATCACAGAGTCATATGTACAATCTAAGAATACTTCTTACACAAATTTAATAGTAGATAATTATCATTGAACAGATGAGGAATTTCTTCTACATTTTGAGTAATCAATATTTTCGAAAGAGTATGCAACTTTCTTATATTGGCCTGTATTAAACATTTATATCTTAGGTTTTCAAGAGTACTGATTGTGAGCAAGTGAAAGAATAGTCAACAAGAGATTATGAAGTCATGATCAGAACACTATTTGACACCTTCTGTAAATAAGTTTGATTTACAAGATAGACATTTATCCTAAATATATTTTGTTACTATTTTCATTGAAGATGACATACGTATATTTCTTTTGTATATTGTGTGTTTATACGTTTGACAATTAATTAACTACTTTGGTAAAAGAATGTGAAAACGTCCTACTGCCTATCTTGGTTCTCCGAAGGCAGCCATGTCCTCAGCATGAATCGCAAAAACAACTTCCAGATCTCTGGACCGGTACTCCAGTTACAGACTAGTAAGTTGATGTGCAATTATTCAAACTTGAAACAATAGTGCACCCACCATAGACTGCATCCGTAATCTACAGTCATCGTTCGTATTATTCTCACCCACTGAAAACATGAGTTTAATCTAAGGGTATTTGGTCGAGTCCTTCACTACCAAGAATCATCTGCTCAATGCTTCCGGATCTTTAATGGTGTCCGAGCTACGATTCGTTTGCAATTTGAATTGTGTAAATTCTATAATCAACACAAATCTCTCCGTACTGAGAGTATTTAGTTATAATACAAATGGCTTACAATTATCCTTGTATTTTGATATACTACAATCACTTCTAATTAAATTGTCGTCTATAGTGACTAGGGACGAACTAACATTCGCTAATCTCTAAAACTAAACATGACCTAGGTTACTCCATGTAATAAAAAAGGAAGAATAAGAATGAAAATTTATCTATGTACAAAAAGTTGATCCCACCACCAATTTACAACTGATGACAACAAAATGAGGAGTTAACATCAGATTTGTGTCATTTTAAGCAATCAGCCAATAGTTAAATTTTAATGCACCAAACTGCGGAGTGTAGACTTTCTAAAGTATAAAATCACAAACCAGTCAAAATTGGAACACCGTTGAGGAATTACATGCATTGGAAGCTTATTCCTCCAAGTATGTGCGTCCTCAGTAGTGTGCATTGACAACCACACCTACGTGAACAAAACCCACGAACTTGAGTCTCGCTTTCAAACCCACAATCAATACACCAGTGAGCTGACATCTAACGATGTTAGTGTCTGACCTCAGCAAATTCACAATGCTTCACGACCCTCATCCATTGTCTGAGAAAGATAACTGTCCTATACCCGATACAGACTGAATTTCACTGGTCGTCTTTCATTAGGTTTCCATTATAACAAACGTATTACAGATAATAACCTAAGACCACAAAAAAATTGATAGAATTCTTTCCTGTTAAAATCTAGTTTCGAAGTTTCGCGAAATTTCAATGATTTCTAAAGAGTTCTGATGAGCCAAAAATTTTCAAACACACCAAAATATATTTCTTTTTCAGCATTTCCACTTCATTTAGCTCTGTATGATGTTTTTCATTAGTCGCAATATTGTTTAATTATCTTCACTAGATGTGTTTTAGATCACATATTTAAAGCTAGCTTCATCTTTTGGTTATGTAATGCATATTTCTCGTGTGTATTGTTAGGACAGCTTAATAGAACTTTATCTGTGGAGAGCGTGAAGCAAACATTAAAACAACAGGGAACGTTTTCTCTCTAGAAAAGTCAAGCTTCTCAAACATGATGCAGAACAACACACAGATTTTGAATGTGAGTATGGACTGCCCGTTCCTGCAGTCTAGATATTCCAACAAGTTATCTTCCTTGTTTTTTTGCAAATCATAGTCTCATAAACTATTCTGGTGCGTTTTTCGAAAGTGTGAGACATTTCGCTGTCCAATTTACAAAAAAAACAATCGAATCCATCGTGTTTGCTGACAGTATGTACCGAAATGAATACGCATCATTCATATGTCGATTCTTGAATTGCTAATATCTAACTTATGACCACTCAATATTTATCTCAAGGATCGATCAAGAAATAAGAATTCAGCAAGACTATAATTAACGGACGACCGTTGAACGAATCATAAGTGAGCTTGATAAATAACAGCCAATCAGGAAACAGTAAGTAGAGAGTAAAAACATATTATACAAAACCAAAGAAATAAAGTGGGTACACTTCTTATAGATGGTTCAAAAACATGTCAGGGTTAGAAAGAGAATCAGTGGTTCTAAAATCGTATTGCATGAAGTAGAAGAAATCATTCATACAGCTACGGAATAGTCGGTCTCTAGAGCCATGATAAAGTCTCAAAAACTCTTTCAACCTCGACCACATAGTTTCAATATTGTTTATATGCACTCCGATTGTTGAGTACACAACATGCCACTTGTGGATAACGACACGATGCATATAACTAAGCCTACGGAGTTGTCTGTACGCTCTATAACCATTTGTATATATTGTAGTAAGTGTTGCAGTCAGTGTTACTGGTGTCTTTGTTATCCAGTTCACAATAATTTTCGTAATTTACTATAGTTAGTAAATATATATAGGATTTTCATCATAAATTGACATCAGCTATAATGCCAGAAATCTATTTAGTACAATAGATGAAAGACTGTTGCGCCAAAATTCGAGATCTGTTATGTTATACCTGATTGATTCGTCCACGAATTATAATCTCGCCGTTTGGTTTGTTATAGCCGCTCAATTATTACGTTTTGTACAAAATTCACTATGAACCGATCGTACATTAAAGTTGAGCACTGAAGTTGGCGGTGTGACCTGGAATTCTCTCAAACGCTTCTTATTGGCTCGTCCATAAATTAGTCTCGCTAAGAATTCTTATTTCCGTTCAAACAGAGACTTGTTGAAATATTTTATGTTGAGAATTCCACGTTGTACCAGATATAAAATAGTGAATTAAGCCAATAATAATAGATGATAAATATATAAATTAAACAAGCTGGATCTTACTACATGATATTAACCATGTGTTTCATGGTTGCTAGATAAACTAGCATAACATAGGGGTGTGAGGACCCATCGTTACTCCGTTGGAGTAGCGGGGTGTTCCTGTAGTTACCTACTTTTATGAAAGAACGTGATTGGTGTAATGGAAACAATTATTATTTTAACCAATTTACCAGTTATTGTTTCACTTGTTTGTACTTGTTTGATTAGGTGTACTAAAAACACACATTCTTCCGTCGACTATAACCTTGCACGGATTCGCGTACGCTTAGTAGTTCCGATTGTGAAATTCGGCACGATATCATGAGATTGCTAACAAATGTATCTTATTACAGCCGTCAACTGCCGTCTGGTTTTCAGCCTACGGAGATGTCCAACCTTATTTCTGGCACATAATCTACCTGAAGTGGTGACCATGGTCAATCACGACTTGACGCCACAGTACAACGTTATACTTAGTTTATTAATTTCAGTATCCCACAATCACAACCACTTTCTTATTTGGTATTGTACAATTATTAATTTTTTTTATGATGCGATATGGTCTGGTTTGCTTGTACATAAACAAATTATGCTTGAAATAAGCGGTTTGTATAGTGGAATCTACTATCGTTTTTCTGGACTCAACAGATATTGATAGTCAGAAAAGGGACTGATAAAAAGACTAGACTACTCATACTGGCCAATATGCTATTGTTGTGGCATGGTGTTAAGATTGCATAAGTCGTATTCTGATTATTTGACGTATAATGCGATATGTTAACTGACCATAATGCACAACATCCTTTAGATAGAATATTGACAACAAACTTATTAATTTATTGTAATTTCTCACCGTGTTTCATATTTGTACATAAATATTACTGTATATTGAAGTATAGCATAAGGGGGATCAAATCGAAAAAAATATTGTTCTTTGAAAATATGCTTTTTCGAACAGTTACGAATGAAATGTACATAGACGTTTCAGCAAACGTTTCACCCTATCAAACCATATATGGAAATAAAATAGATATTGAAGGGATGATGGTGATTATTATGACGATGATGATGATGATAATGATGATGATGATTTTGGATAAATGAATCAGTGCATTTTTCGCAATGAATTGGCCATTGACTTTATAATTAGTATACGAACTGATGTCGGTAAGAAACCGTAAAGGTATGCTTTTAAGTCATGCCGAAAATAACCAGAAGTTTGTTGTTCAACACCAAACATGTCCAATGCATGTTTAGCATAGACTTTAGCAGTTGGAATGAAAAATGTGGTTTTCATTAAGTTGGTTAAATTTGTAGATACAAACATTGGACACATTGTTTGTATAATAACATTCTTTTTATACTTTTCGGCAGCCAGGCATCTAGAAAATTGAATAATAAATGCTTTCGTTGATGAGTACATTGTAGCATAAGGAAACACTTTCAAAGCTGAATATGAGGAAATGTTTATGATACCAGGATTAGGTCCCTTCTGTGTTAACATTTTCGGCAGAATGATTCTTGTCATTATTACTGTAGACAAAATGTTACAATGAATGATATTTCTGATTGATTCTTCATTCGGTGAATCGACTTCTCCAACAAACAACTCAAAGGGTAATCCCATGCCAACATTGTTAACTAAACAAGCTATTGTGGACAATTGGTCAACAGCAGGTCTTATTATTTCATAAACATCATTCTAAACAAAAGAGAAGACAAGATTGGTGGAAGTTGATGTGTTCGAATATCTGGATCAAGTTTCAAAAACGTCAACATATTCCGATGTGTTTGGATGGTGAATTTGAGACATGTTTTCTACCTTGTTTCTCAACAGCTAACGTGATATCCACTGAGTGAATGAGAATGAACATCCTGCTATTCTTCTGACGAATATACCATATTTTGACGAAAGTGTCTGTGTACTTCCGTCTCTAATATTCACAACTGAAATTCAATCATTTTTTGTCAGTCTAGTTGCATCTTGTACAATGATATTTGCAATTTCTCTTTATAACATTATTACCGAAACAACATTTGACTGACAGTCAACCAGTCTCTCCTCACACATATGCACACAAAATTAATACCTCCAACTGAAAACTAATTATATCAATGAATATTTTACATATCAATATGAAGTTACATTTTTCATGTTGAGTGATCGTCAACAGACAACAGCAATCCACTCACACCCTCAACTATCGTTTACACCAGTGTAGTATATATCTGTCACAAACTCAAGGTAGTTTCAATCAATTCTGTAGATACAAATACATCCAAACTGAACTATCCCACTTAATGTTCATGTGCATCTCATTGATGTTCTTACTGAAATCTCTGTTTTCTAGAACTAATCGATAGTCAGTAATAAACTGATATACGTTTCAACAAATTCACCATACAAATCACAAAACACTCTCTATGTACACGTATTTAGTGTGAATTTGTCAAATTCGAATCTGGATATAATGCAGTGTAGCTTGATGTAGGTGATTGTGTGAATGCAGCAGTTGACTAGTTGACATTAGCGACTGATGGGATTGGTGACGATGGCTAAAATTATCTTATACTGCAAAACACTTGTCCAAATAATTATCTCGTATTATCATTATTGCAGACAAGTCAGCTGCTTTTCTTTTTTTCTCCATCTATTTGAACTGCAATCATCTTTCTTTTTTCTTCACACTTCTCAAAACTAAACAGAAAGTTTAGTGACAAACCACCGTTTCATATCATCGATGGGAGAAAACAGAAAAATCATTAATGCTGCAAATCAAGCACCTCGCTATCATCCGTGAGTGAATGCAGTACAGGAGAGATTGTGTGACAGTGTAGAACCACACACACACACAAATGCGTACAAACATACATTTATCCGCCTCGAATTTATGGTGTTTGTGAAATATACCAAACAGTTGTGCAATAAAAAAGGTTTTTGGTATGAAAATGATATATCACATACACGTGAATCACAGAAATACTTTTCGTCAAAAGAATGTTTGCAATCGCTTTTCTACATTCAAACACATGTCATAATTGATGACCATTTCGACATGATCACATAACTCAAGTGTCAGCAATAACTCGACAAACAATCAATCACTTCATGAACAGAGCGACTAGCCATGCACAACTCCTGTCAATCTATTTAAACACCACCGACTGATAAATCAAAATGATCACTTAAGTCAATAACAATGATTTCAATACAGTATTATTAACAGATTAATTGAGAATGGATATTACTTTAGTAAAATCTGCAACCACAATTCGTGTTTGAACATTGTAGGTACTTGTGATTCGATTAGCAACGGCTGATAGTTGTTCTTCATCATTACTGATAAGCATGATGTTGAGACCCTCTTTGGCCAATTCCTCTGCATACGCTTCACCAATACCTGATGATGCACCAGTGACAACTGCCCATTCGCCAGCCTTACGAAGTGTTTTCCGTCTAGAGAAGCACCATTTTTTGATAGTAAACTTGAAACAAATCCTTAAAAATTGTAAAAGTTTGTAATTTATCAATGAAACTGCAATTAGTATTAGCAAAATTCGCCAATGCTTTATAGGGAATTCCAAAATATATAAGATATCCTGGAATACAAGAAAAGAGACAGGGAAATAAGATTCATTTTTGTTATGTAAACTAGACCAGAAATTTTGGGGACGTGGAGTTAAGAATAATAAAGAAATAATGTGAAAACCGTTCGAAACCTAATCACATTGCATAATAAGCTAATATGACAAGGTTCAGTATAAGGTGAAAACAAACCGTTTTCAAATACACAATAGTAGTTTGAATTTTCGTATGGCTAAGGCTTCCGTAAACCCTATTATACGTCATTTCGCACTAGTATTGCCCTAATATATCATCACATAGTTGTGTTAATCATCTTCTTTTTATTACATTATCGAAATTAACTGTCATTATTCATTTATATTATGATGTAGAATGCGATTTTAACTGCCACCGTGAACAATCATCTTTTAACGTCGAATGCTCCTTTGCTTATTTTCATGATTAGAAGCAAGTCAATAGAATGTTTTCATTAATTATAGTTGAACATAGCAATCTTATCTTATTTGTACACTGTTCACAATTCTTCCCTGTCTAATCCATCGGTAGGTGTCTATTCTAGATTTTCCCTGGTTAAACAGAATCGAATGTATAACCCTATTTCAGATATTACAATCAAGGTGATTATACCTTTAATAGGTTTTGATCACATGCAGATTTCAGTTACTTAGAAACAAAAATCCTGTTAGATATTCAGTTATTATTAACATAATGAGGTTTTACAAATCGTATCCCATTAGTGACTTGTTATCAAGAATGATAGTGATTGGTTGTCTGCTTGGTCAGATATGTAGATAGTCTGACAGGTGTCAGATGAGTTATATATTCCTATGTCCTCATTATTATTGTTACTAACTTATTATTGATTGTTCACTGTTGTTGCATAGTGTCGTGTGTTTGACATGGAAATACATTTACGATGTGATCACTGAAATTATGTGTTTTTGATCTGCGTCGTGTTGAAGTCCTGTAGAATAGATACTGGGAGGGAATCTAGTGTAGATAATCATCTAAGGTAAATTAACTTCCCATACGTATAAAATTGGAAAACCAACCGTTATAATATTAGGCAAAGTAAAACCGAGCGTTAAAATAATTGCACTTACTAGTTGACTTCGAGTAGTTTGATGAATATCCGATTGATTTAATTTAACCTATTGAAAATGATATAAAGAGATAGAAAAGCAAATTTACGTTCCGTTACTCGTTGTAATTGACGGTTAGCAGTACTTCCGTGATGATTATCTAGTGTGGTATTTGTCTTTGGTTACCACTGTGATTATTATATTCGATATGAGATTAATTTATTTGGACGGGTGTGATGTTTATTCACGATTCAGTATTCTTGTGTTGAAAATTTGCCTGGAGCACCTCTAAGACTACTTCCAGTCTCACCCCGGATAAAGTAGGAAAGTTGGGCATGAAATTAGCGACCTAATTAAACTTTTGATTGTAAAAAGCTTGCTTACAGGTGCTACCTTGATGGAAATTGAGATAGAAATTCCTTTATAGTTATAATGCTTAGGAAAACTTTTAGATCTAATTATGTGTAGATTTGGTTACTGATTTTATTTTATTTATTTATTTTAACACATAGGTATTGGTACAAGGAGGCACCAAATACATATGCGCCACACAGATCTCATTTGATTTGTGTGAGGGCTGGGATACTGCTCGGGTGTCCAAACCGAAGCAGGTGGTTTTCTTAGAGGGCCACACCCCGAGCCTTCGGCCTGAACGTCTGACCCACAAGGCAGTGAAGCACCGTAAGGAGATGCAGTCCCATGGTAGCCGGTGACCAACGATTGGTTCATACGCCGTTTGTTCCTTCAGGATACTGAAGCCCATGTGCACCATTGGTTTGGAATCCAGTTAAAGCTCCGGACATTCGCTTTCCATCCTCATTTTCGTAAACAACAGTAGTGCCACGAGAAGGCACTGAGTAAGACTTCCCTTGCAGAGGCTATATACGCGTGGCCGTGTGAGAGCGTTTCGAGATAGAGAGCGGACTCTCCTTACTCTCGGCCGTACCAGAGCATTTGGGGGCGGGTACCCTCAATGGTATAAAATATACCTTACAGAGTAATATTAGTAATGACGGTAATAATAATAATAACAATTGCATCAATATACAAGAGAGACACATTCAAATATTATTTAACTATTTTTAGTGAGTAAATAACAACGTACCATTTACTTCTGTATAATGATTTGTTCTTATTCCAAACTTCACTTAAATGATCATTAACAGTGCCAGTTATATAGAGTTTAAAGACCTTAAAGTATTTATAAATACCACAGCATCTTTTCACTTGTATATTCATTGGATAATCAATTTCTTCTAATATAACATCAATATTCATGTATAAAATCATCCATCTAATACCCTTTTTACTAAAGTACCAGGTTATTTGTTCATTCTAAGAAAGAAAATGACATAGTTTACAATAGTACGTTTGATAGACATTTACAGTATAATTATAATTTATGAACGACATTTGAGTGACGCTATATTAACATTAAGAGTATCTACCTAATTACCAGTGTTAATGATAGATGTAAAACATATTTAAAAATAGGAATTATGATTTATAATTGATAGTTAGATGTTAGGAATTAGATTTGAGGGGGAGGGTTCCATCATGAACTGACATCAGTTATGATGCCAAAAGACCCTATTCAACCAAATGGTTGAATGAATTCCATGCTGAAATGCAAGACTTGTCATGATAAACATGATCGGTTCAACCACAAGTTATAATCTCACCGATATTTACTGTCAATAAATTATTTTCATTAATAATGAAACTTATTCTCATGCTACATTTATATGGTTGTGTTTATCATTGTGAAGAAAATGTATTTCTACTTTTTTATTTTCATGTATATCAATGACAGAAAGATTAATAACCAGTCAATTATATTTATATAAAAGAGATGATGGAGAAGATTTGTAGACTAGGAAGATGATTGTGATAGAGTTTTGTTCTCTGAGCTGGGTGGTTTAAACTTGGAGATTTTATCGTTCTCTAAAAACGACATCATTAGCACAAACGTCAGATAGAAGTGAAGTGTTTGAATTTCTCCACACGTGGTTCATATCTTGTCTTGTAGACCTCGATACTGATTGGTTCTTGTTGACGTTAAACCTGTTATTGTATCTTACATTGATTAGATTTCTGTTCCTAAGTTTGTCTGTAATTTTCCTGATTGGTTGACAAATCCAATAAATTTCAATGTGCTTGATGAGTACTGATTAACCTAAGTGGATAACTTCTAAAAATTCTCTGGTGTTTTTAAAGTTGCCTCTATCCAAAATTTCCACATTTTTCCAGTAGAATGGATGTCCGCAGTTGTCCATGCACATTGATATAAGTGAGAACATATATTGGCGTTTAACTGCTAATAATTGTTCATGCGGGCGAAAACAAAGGTGTTTGTTTTGTCTGATGTAGTGTTTTTCACAGTAAGCACAATTTATTTAATAGATGATGTTTGATTTGTCTTCTTTTGTCATTTCATCCTTTTGTTTCTATAGGATTGATTGCACTGGTTTGTTGGTTTGTGTGTAACACTTGTCCCGAAATGTTTCAGCAGTATCATAATAGTTTCTGATATGCCTTTTCTGTAAGGTAATCTGATCCTTTTGATGATTTCTGCACTTGACCTTATTTCTGATGATGCGTGTGACTGGTCCTTCATGAGATTGATTAGATTCCTGTTCTTTTGAAAGTTGGTCTTCAGCTATTCGACTTCAATTTTTCGTACTGCAAGTGTGATGCAATGTATCTTCGTCCTCTTGAACAAAGCGTGTACGCTGTTGAGTTTGTCAAATCTTCAGTTGTTTCTATTGTAGTTGAGAATTTGATCTGTGTGGGTAGGCTTTCTATACACTTGAGTCTCCAGTTTACCTGGGCCGGTTCTGGTGATCAATACATTCAAGAATGGTAGCTTGTCGTTTGACTCTTGTTCCCTTGTAAACTTGATGTCATAAAAGACGTTGCTGATTAGCTTGTAAGAGTTTTCTAGCTAATACTTTGATGCACACTTCATTCTACTCTATAGATGAATGTAAATACATCACAAATTTTATGATCACTTCGGAACACAAACCCATCATTGCTAACTTGAAACGCCATCACGCTTTCCACTTAAATACTGAATTCGGATCACCATTAGCATGTGCAATCAGGTGAAGTTCAAACTCATATTTGTATAGGTTGATTGGATTTGAATACTGATGTTCAGGAGCACAATAGAACCATCTCTTGTTAGTATATGTGCATCCTGCCTATCAGAGATTTTTCATTAGCATTCCATCAAATTATTCGTTTACTATGGCGTAGAAATATGTATACAAATGAGCGTTTATTTATGTGATTGAGTAACTCAATTCATCTTCCCATGCAATATTGTCTTTTTGCTCAGTGATTAGTTCAAGTGTTATATATGGTGAGTTTGAGTAGCAGCTTATGCTTCAAACACCACCTGTCATAAAATTAGGTTAGGGTGCCGTGATGATGTTAATTAGTTGCTGAAAATTCAATTTCAGTTCAACTCATACAGATTCAGGAATTAACTGACTTCTAAGTCGCTTCACAGTTTAAAATACCCACATCCTATGATGCTAATCACATTTGTGAAATGCAACGAAATACTGCATTAGATAAATACAGTACGTCACCGTAAAGAGAGAGGTTCCTGAGATCTTTGAATCCGTAGTTTTACATTATGGAGTGTCTTAAGTAGATAAACCACTCAAAACTGACAGACACCGAAAGGATATTTTCTCCTAGTATATGACTATTCAGAAGAATACGCTAATGACCTTGACAGATTCTGTGAGGTCAAATTCAAGGCAAACAAATCGCCTAGTCCTTAATCCACTGAAATGGCATACAGTGTTGTACATAAATAACGTATTTTACGATCATTTATGTTCTGCGGTGTATGATTTTCTCATATCCAACATGTTGCAAATCCACTAGTAAACGCCTCTCATTAGAACTCATAAAATTATCGCTCATACCTTGTACTCAGTGAGCATATGATTACTAGCAATAATTATAGTTATTATAACGACTACTACTATTAGTGACCAATCACACTCACACTTACTGACAGAAATCTAAAGTACAGGTGAGATTACACTTGGAATATTTCGTAAAGATCAACTTGAATATTAGAAAACCTTAATGAGATCACACAAATTGATTAATTCCATCTCATCACAGGGTCATATGTACAATCTAAGAATACTTCTTATACAAATTTAATAGTAGATATTTATCATTAAACAAATGAGGAATTTCTTCTGCATTTTAAGTAATCAATATTCTGCAAAGTGTATTTATTTTGTTACTTGAAGCCATTTCTACACGCTTAAAGTATAAGCTTACAAAAATACCAATTCTGAGCAAATGAAAGAATAGTATTTGAACTGGGATATTTAAACGATTAAAATGAAAGAATACTCACGTACTTACTAACTTACTTACGCCTGTTACTCACAGTTTAGCATACGCCGACAAACAGCATTCTCCAACTCATTTTCTGCTGAGCCTACCTTTCTAGTTCTATCCAATTGTTGTTCATTCTACTCATATCTGCCTCTATTCTTAGAGTAATGTGTTACCTGGTCTTTCTTCTCTCATTTAACCATAAGAGTTTCAAGTGAGAGTTTACATTATCATGCAGTTGGATGCTTTCCTTAATGTGTGTTCTATTCACTTACAACGCTTCTTCCTGATTTCCTCCTCCACTGGGTTCTGCTTTTTACTTTCCTACAATAGGCTCTTGCTCATAGTGTAGTGTCTGGCCAACGGATCCAAGGTATTTTGCACAGACAACTGTTAATAAACACCTGTATCATCAGGATGATGGCGTTCGTAGTTCTCCGAGTTTCCACCCCATACAGTAGAACTCTCTTGTATTTGTATTGAAAATGCTGACCTTGGTTTTGGTTGCTAATTGTTTTGAGTTCCAGATGTTATTCAGTTATATATACGCTGCTCTATCTTGGACGATCCACGACTTCACATCTGTATCCGATCCACCGTGTTTATCGATGATGCTGCCCAAATATGTAAATGTTTGTACATCTTCCAAATCTCCTCCGTCAATTGTGATTGGATTGTTGCATGCTGTGTTTTACCGGAGAATCTTGCTTTTCCCTTTGTGTATATTGAGACCTACTGTTGCTGAGGCTGCTGCTAAACTGGTCGTCTTCTTCTGTATTTGTTGTTTTGTGTGCGATAGAAGGGACTGATAATATTCAAACTCAAAATCGTCCAGCTGCATTCTAGCTGTCTACTGTATTACATGCTGTTACCCAGGTGTTGACGTCTTCACAATCCAGTCGATGACCAGGAGACAGAGAAGAAGTGAGAGTAAGAAACCTTTTCTGACACCGATCTTTACCTCGAAAGAGTCTGTCAATTGTCCTCCATGCACAATTTCGCAGTTTATTCCATCATAAGAATTCCATATGATATTCACTATCTTTCCAGGCATGCTGTCGTTTCGAAGAAGTTTTTATAAGGTTCTCTTATCAAAACAGTTAACCGCCTGCTCATAATCAATAAAGTTGTTGTAGGGTGATGAACGTATTTCACTTGGTTGTTCTACAATGATCAATAGTGTTGCGATTTGATCAGTATACGATCGATTCTCACGGAATCCAGCCTGTCGATTTCGAAATCGGGCATCTACGGAGTACCTCATTCTGTTTAACAAGATCATGTTGAAGACATTTTCTGGTATTGCGAGAAAAGTGAATCCTTTGTAGTTTCCACACTTACTGAGATCTCTTTTTTTGGTATCTTGATGGAGTGTCCCTATCTGTAGTCTGTTGACACATACTCTTTATCCCAAACCTCACTGGAGAGAATGTGTGGTATGTTTGCGGTTGACGCTACGTATGATTTTAGTGCCCCTGCTAGAAATGTGTCTGGTCCCACTTCTTTAGCGCTTTTTATTTGCATGATGGCCAAGCCGATCTCTTCAATTGTTGGTGGAGAGGTTCGCGAGTGCTGCTTCGATGTTGAGTGCCTACTTCAAGAGTTCCTCGAAATGCTCTGCCCACCTGTTTTGCTGTTCTTCAGTGTTGATGATTACTTTGCTTTCCTTGCCTTTCACTGGTCGTTCTGGTGTACGATAATTCCAAGCGAGATTCTCTGCTGTATCACACAATTGTCTCATGTTTCATCCTTTTGCAGCATTTTCAGTCTTCACTGCTCGATCTTCCACATACTTACGTTTGTCGGCTGTGATGCCCTCTATACATCCTTGTTTACTGTTGTGTTTTCAGCTTGTTCCCTGGCTTTCTCTGCTTATGTTCGGCTGACAGTGATTGCCGTTTCGT